AAAAAAAAAAAAAAAAAAAAAAAATCCAAAAAAAATCCAAAAAAAATGAAGGAAAATATAATGGAAACTATGATTTACATCACTGGGCACAAACAAACAACTAATATACCAATAGAACTATAAATATTATGATATTTATAATATTTTACAGATGAATTAGCTTATAAGACTCCAGTAGACGATTTTTCAGTTCTTTCTTAAAGATCGGCTTGCTAAGTATTCAGTGAATTTGCCTCATCAATAGAATCCCGCACCTTTACACAAGTAAATCTAATGTCACATTTTCCATAGTTCGTTCTTATGCGAGGAATGGAGAAGGTAGATTTTGAAGCGAGTCTGGTATTATAACTGCGTTTCTCTTTAAAGTGCACATGCACCCTTCGACAATACTTTCAGTTCTGATTTTACATGAAGTAAATAGTTGATTGGTAAAATATTTCTTGATTTGAGTGATGCGTCTCTAAGTTATGAAGGTTTATACTTCCAATATGTTAATGATGATGACGTCAGGTAAGGTATTTGAGTGTTTTTGTTGTAACTAGTAATACTAAATGCTGGCCATTTTGAAAATACAAATTTAAAATAGCTTTCCCATGAGTAAATTAATGATGCTTTTTAAACACTGTTTCTATGAACCAGTTCAATTTTGTATAACTAATTAAGCCTTAATAGACGTCACACTTATTAGTATATTTGAAGTAAACGCGATTGGTAATCGTTTAAATATCGATCTGCTAACATCTTAGTGAGTGAGTGAGTGACACATTTGCATATTCAGAGCCCTCACAATAACTCGTTTCTACGCCTCGCGTATCCACGAGTTAAAAAGGTCTACAGTTAATGATATTATTTGCGTTGGGCTACCTGTCTTGGTCACCTGTAGCATAATTAGCATACTAAACAAGCGTAATAGCTGGTACTTTTGCTCAGCGCGCTTCAAAAAAATATTTGCTGCTCACATCAGCAAAGCACTTTACCTTGCGGTTTAAAACTTTTTCTCGTCACAAATATAAACACAATGATTATACCATTGTTGAACCTGGACGTGGCGTGGCTTGTCCAGATATTCGTGTTCCTGGCTTATCTTGGAATGACATACCTACTACTCATGGAATATCTTTACGAAGATCCGTTTGGACAAGCTAAAGGGAAAGACTCCAGCGTCAAAACGAAGGAACCGAAAGGAAACGAAAAGGAGAAAAATATTGGGAAAACGGCTGTTGAGGAGACTAAGAAAGCCACTAATATTCAAAAAAATTGAAAGGTAAAATTTAAAATTCTGAACGTAATATGCAATCTTAAATACTGGCTGTGTGGGTATACTTTTGCTAATATTAATCGAACTGATTTTTCAATTTGTTCGACTCATCGAGGACACTTTTACTTCACTTCCCTATAAATAATTCATACTATTTATTTAAAGTGGAAAATTATGCGATGCAGTTCTTGATAATCGATGTTAGTCAAACAGACACAAAATGTCTTTCTACTCTCTAAGATTTATCATTCCTAGAGTGATTTCACGGCTTGGCCTGTGAAAGAATCGTCAAAACGTTATGAGTGATTTTATCTAACCAGTGACAAAAAATTAAGTAGTAAATAAAATCACTCTAATAATAATAACAGTGTTAGAACGAAATTCCATTGTTCTCTGTCGTTTTATCTTGAAGGCCAGTCACTTCTATCGAACTTTGTGCTTAAGCGCGTATTCCTTTTATCTGTATTTCTATAAATAGAATGCATGAGCACGGGAAATTATATGGGAAAACAAAGACGCGGGAAAAACATATAATATTTAGCTCTATTCTGTTTAATTAGTATAGGAAATCCGATCTCGAGTACAATTCAGAATTTATAGGTACGAGTGATGTCAGTGAAAGTTTTCAAAAATGGACGGGCCTTTTATAGGCGAGCCCAATTTGAGAGCTTTCAAAACATCTCGAGTATCTATGAATTCTGTATTTTACGAGAAGATCGTGCAATATTTTGTTTCTACAGAATACAATTTGTATAGGAAATCGCACGATCTTCTCGTACAATTTGGAAATTAATAGACACGAGTGTCGAGTGTCTATTAATTCCAAATTGTGCGAGAAGATCGTGCGATTTTTTGTTTATAGTTCACTCAACAAAATTTCAGTAAAAAATGCGAAGCGACGCCGTTCATCTTTGTCTATTTGGCGACCGATTTTCAGTCCATCGCGCAACTGAAATGCATAAAAAAGATTAGTTCTTATTAGTTTTTACGGTTTTTTTTTTTTTTGCCGCTGTTGACATTTTTTTGGCCGTTTTTCCATAGCGACTTAATTCGGTACTCCTACGGAGTACAATTAACGCTATAATTGTACTCCTTTCGACCAATCAGAGTCAAGTAATTTTGTTGAGTGTACTATAAGGGATTCAACTGTTCAATCAGAATCAAGTAATTTTGTTGAGTGTATTACTGTACTGACTGATTTTTCTGGACTTTTCAGGCAAGAAATAGAGCTTAGTAGTGGATATTAATCAATGGCCTACTAAATATAAAAGAAAGAAAACAGATAAAAAACAACAGCAATGAACAACAACTTCAACAACAGGAGTTTGGCATATTTATATATCGTGATTGCGACCTCTATTGAGCGGACACTATTTTGGGTACCGCGAGTAGTAGAGCCGCAGTGCTGGCTACCTGAGCTGCAATACTAGAGACCTTTAGATCCGACGACGAGTAAGAGGACGAGTACGAGTACGAGTGTTTAACTTTTAAAAAGAGGCACTATCTTTTTGTAGTCGTGATAGTGTACGTGATTGAAACTTTAGATTGTAAAAAATCTGAAATCGACTACGATTCACAGGACCAATTTTAAAACTCGTACTCGTACTCGATCTCGTACTCGTCGTCGTATCTAAAGGTCGCTGGCGTGAGGACGACTGGCGGCTCAGGCGACTATTCACCTTATTTAGAATTAATGCCGAGCATTGTATCAGGGGTTACTGGGTGCACTTTAAATATAGAACGTAAATTTCGTCATCATCATATTCATTAAGTTGGAATAATCTCTTTCACAATTCCCTGCGCCATCTTGAAAGGTAGCCGTGTCTTTGCGTCAAAGCCAGACGAACTTGCAATGCTAGAGACCTTTTTTAACACCTTGGACAATTATTCACAGGTCTCATCATTGCAAGCTCACCGTTCGTCTTGCAACCATGCAAAGACATGACTACCTTTCAAGATAGCGCAGGGAACGGTGAAGGGGACTATTGTGAAATATTCCTTCATTTGAATGTTGCGTCTTTAGGTTCATACATACACTATGAGAGTGACTTGGACGTCATCCCAGGCTTTTGAATGTATTTGTTTTAACTTTACTAAACGCTAGCTATCTTGTAATACTAAACTCTAACCATTATGAGAAGCCAAATTACAATCGACATTTTGGAAAGCTTGAGTATAATGATAATGCTTTTTAATATTGTTTGTGTGAACTAGTTAAAATTTGTATAAATGAAGCCTGGGATGATGTCACAGTCATTTGCATATTGAAAAAATAAACTCTTTGTAACTTAAAAGACGCAATATCCAAAGCCCGGGCTAAAACTACCACAARAATTTAATATATCCAAACAACATACAACAACACCGACAAAAACTAAGGCCCCGTCCACACTATGCCGGATAAATTTGAATCAGCAACTTTCACACCGAAACCGAAAATATGTTTTCCGTCCACACATGAAAACGGAGAAAATGTTTTGGACTAGTCCGATCAGAGGCTGCAAAAACGCTTTATTGCACATCTGCAGAGCATGCGCATCGAAGCTGAAATTGAGCCCGCGGTGAATTGTTAGCCTTCCCGCCAAGTTCCCATGACAATCATGACGTCATCGTATTCGAAATGTTCTCCGTCCACACTAATACGGCTAGCCGGCGTTTTCAAGTTGTTCCACTCTGGAGACCGTTTTCGAAAAATTCCGTTTTCGGTGAAGAATTGTTCCGGATTCGCCCTGAATAGTGTGGACGGGGCCTAAGAAAGAATTGACTCGGATGATTTCTACTCGTTCTAGCGCTTTCACACGGCACTAAGTGGGGACACTTTTCACTCACACACTACCACTACATTCAATATTCTATTCAAGCAAGAGAGACCTCAGATCAGATAAAAAACGGGAAACAAACATGCACTTTGTAAATCAGCAATTCATCAAAAGGGCAGGTGAATTCATTTGTCATTAAGTTCAGATAAGAAATTTATCATCTCTGAGCATCATTATTAACCGAGACTGATAACTGATGCCGCGGTTCTTTTCATATCTTTTGTTCTTTCTTTCTGTAAAGCATTTAATTAAAACTTTATTCTGTCATTCATACTTTTTTGATCCGAAAACTATGACACAACCAGGTGGTAGATTGATTTTATAACTAAGCTCTCCCATGGCCCAGAGCAAAGTATCTTGAAGAAGTTACGTTTGAGCAACTGTTTAGGTCCTACAACTTATTTATACTTTTTTTTTTTTGTCCGAACACTCAGTTTGAAATAATCTGGTTGATCTATACTAAGAAGAGCTCTACGTTTGAGTAGCTGTTTTCAAAAGTAAACGTCGACAAGGTCCTATTTATAACTCCAGCATGAATGTGTCAAACACTTCCAAGAGTAGCTCAATAACTGCAGCTGTCGAAACTTCCTTCCTCCTTGTCCATGCTGTTATCATTCTAACTGGAGTGGTTGGCAATGCACTTGTTATTGTAGTAGTGAAGACGACACCTTCAATGTACACTACTACAAACTTCTTACTTGTAAATGTAGCCGTTGCTAACTTGTTTACCGTAATATGGCTCATCCCAGCTGATGGCTTTAGCTTTCTAGCACCACCTGGCGGCTCCGCAAGCGACTTTCTGTGCAGATTTTTCACGTATAATAGCTTGCCTAAGCTCACTACTGCTGTATCAGGCACCACTTTCACCCTGATTGCAGTTGAACGTTATCATGCTATCATCAAACCTCTAAGAGCTGGACGACGACTTACGACCGAAAACGTCCGCTATGTTATCGCTGGGATATGGTTTTTTTGGTGCGCCATTTTGGTCCCATTTGTAATCTTCATTAAGTACGATGAAAATGAACAAAATTGCACTGAAAAATGGTCTTCGACTTTGTTTAAGAATGTGTTGTTGACAGTTCTCAGCGTCACTTTTATAACTTTGGTAGGAACTATGGTTTTTTGTTATTCTAATCTTATCAAAAATCTCTACTTTACGAAATCAATATTACCCGAATCTGCAACGGCTGATAGTGACAAGAAATCAAAGCGTAAACTAATAAAGTTTCTTGTGCTTATAACAATCGCGTATCTGATTTGCTTTGCACCGTACATAGCTTCATTTGTGCAGTACGCGATATTCACTACTTACAGTCCTTCTGCACATAACATAGTGGTAACCATGCTTTATGGTAATTCATCAATCAGTCCTTTTATTTGTGCTTTTCAAAGTTCTAATTATAGAGAAGGTTTTAAGAAGATTCTATATGGCTGTATTAAATGTCTCCCAAGACAGCAAGTTGAAGAGGACCAGTCCGTTCAACGGGATTAAAAGGATGACTGATGCAATAACTATAATTTCAAATGTAATTTTCTTTTAATTATGCGATGTAAAACTTAATCAAAGCTAAAGTATTATATTCTTACAGGTTTTTATTAAAAATAGAAGTTTCTGTCGGTCTTTATTATTATAAATATGCTTTATTTCCCATTACGCTTTACTTTTTTAGCCGTTTTTATTTTACTTTAACGATTATTTTTGCATTTGTTTTTATTGCTATCGTTATCGTTTTGTTGATTATGAGATATTGCTTTGTTTTCATGCATGGCGGCAATGTTGTGGAATCTTTAACAAAGCTTTCGTTATATCAACCAACATGGCCTCCCATGACCGTCATGTATTTTGTAATATCATATCCATATCATGGTGGCCATGTATTTTGTAATATCATCCAACATGGTGGGCCATGCCTTTTGTAATATCATCCAACATGGTGGGCCATGCCTTTTGTAATATCATCCAACATGGTGGGCCATGCCTTTTGTAATATCATCCAACATGGTGACATAATGTTATTAAAACTGTTGGATTCACTTTAATCCTTCAAGGTAAGGAGCCGCCTGCTCTGAAAACAAGAATATAATACAACGATAATACCTTCGACACGAGCATGCGCCAACGATTTTAATATATTCTCTCACTTCCATCCGCCATCTTTCTATCGAACAATTTATCCTGCGATATCAAAAAACAGTTCTAAGGCATACGAAAGAAACAAAATGGGTGTTTCAATCGACTCGGACCATTTGATGTACTTTGCTATCGGTATCTTGTACCTAGTACTGATCTGTATCATATCAAAGGATGCGTTTTTCCAACTCTTCGCTCCTAGCAAGAACGACGGAAAAACCCAACAGTTTTGTTGTCCTCGTCACGGTGTACAAGAAAATCACCTGAAGCGAGCTTGAAAATACGTTAAATTTCTTCGTAAACATTATGAGTCTGTAAGTCTCTGACAAAAATCCATCCGCATAAATTCCTAATACTATGTAAAAAAGAAAAAACTCTCACAATTTTGAGAAACTTGCCAACTTAATTAAGATTTATTTCCTTATATAAATAAATTTTTATTTCATAAAACAAATGTCGGGTTACCGTAAAAAAATTTTGAATAGATGAAATGAAAATAAAATAAAATCGGATTTGGTAGTGGCATAGTGGCTGTTCATCGACTGAAATTCCAATTGGAATTTATTAGAAGTTGATTTTTGCAGTATATTTTTGTAAAGCTAGGGGGGAAAACGTACGTCTGTAGAGCAAATGAAAAATGAAAAAGAAAGAAAAGCAAGAAGAAACAGGTCCTTTAAACCACAACAAAACAGAAAAAACTTTATTATAGTAAAATTCATTGGCTGACAGGGAATTCTATAGAAATCAGCCTCAGAGCCAGTCGGCTTGTGAGATATGGAGTCCACAATCACTATCAAAACAATGTTTTTTGTTTTTTAAATTCAAACTYTTTGATATATTCGGTTTGATGAAATTATACTTAGTTTATGAACTCGAAAATTCAGAAGCACGAGGATGACTAATTATTTTTAGCAACTTATCTTCAAAGAGAATGAGTCTAACTTTATCTTCTTCTGACACCATTTGAGGACATATTTGTGGTCTGAAGATTGTAACTTAATTTTGCTAGTGAGATTTATGAAGCTCATTGACAACAAGCAGTTGACTTAGCAGATGGCATTGTATTTTTTCAAATATTGAATTGAAAGTTATTATTAAGATTTTCACGAAAAGGTGACAACTACAAGGTAAAAAGTGGAAGGCTTATTATTCATGATCGTAATCGTAGCGACTTTTTTCCTAAGATATTTGCATCTCTAACTATTACAGCTATTGCGAGCAGCTGTATGCTAACTGTACTATTATTGCGAAGTTTCACATCCATGCTTTCGTTCAAAACACTGAATCTTTTCTGAACTGTTTGCTAGGGATTAAAAATATAGTAAATGCTAAAGAGAGTTCAAATGATAATGTAAGCGAACTTCTACTGAGCTCTCTTTCTCTGGATTGACTTATGAAATATAAAACGAGTCTCGAGTCGACTTAACTTTTTCTCTCTTTATTCGTCGCGAGTCGCGACGATCGGTTTAGTTCAGAATTAACCGAAAAGAAAAAATATATTTATCAACAGGTTTATTTATTTGATATCTCCAAAATTTATTCGACCTGAGATATGAATTATGTTTCAAAGAAAACCAAACTTAATCGATTAAACTAGAGCACATTGAATGCGAAATTTCATTTCTGAAGATAAATTCAATAACACCAATCTTGATCTAATTGACTTCTGTGGCCCTGAATAATTCCATTTGTATGCTAAGTAGATAACAATTTGTGATGAAGCAAGCTTCACTTTTCAAATGCCATTTCTATTTTCTCATGCAGAACAAACTTCTAGTACGTCCATAGATTGGATTATATAGACGCCTTTCAAAATTTTCTTACAACTTACAACTGTTTTGAACTGACCATCGTCAAAAGTCAAAAACAGATCAACTGGAAACAACCAATCAAAATAGCCGACTACGTTTGTATAGGAAGATGTATTAACAATTTTTCTATATTTAGTTATAGCCCAGAGTGTCCTGCTGTCATCATCATCTGCTGCTATCAATGACTAAGAGAGAGGAAAGGGAAAAAACAGCTCTTAATTATTCATGTTAGCATATGAACTTGGCTTTTGCTTATACTCTTATCCATTGTCAGATATAATACATGTAATAATTGTAAAGTTAAAAATTCCGTTTATCATTGTAACTCTAAAAAAAGAAAAAATGGAATAAAGCGTTATTAGTTGTGAAGCGAAGAAGAAAACAAACATGTTAATCTTTTGTAATACTCAGAAGAAGGACAGTAACGCTGTTAAAGTTACAAATAAAACAAATACGTCTTTATTACACTGTTTTTTTAAAACTGTTTCCATCAGTTTTATTAAGAGAGGATTCTCTTCGTATTCAAGCAGTGAGCGCCAAAAACTATTTTCTTGAAGAAAGGCTGTTGTACAAGGCTAAAATCTTGTTATTCAGAAAGTTTAACTYGTTTGGAAGTGGAGATGAATCAAATTGTTAACCCAAAGCAAAAATTGTATTCGAAAATTAGGTTTAGACCTTCATTTGCTTATTTCCCATATATTTTCTATAAAAAAGCCTGACAAAGCAACATTCTAACACAAAAGCAACAAAACATCTTTGTACAATTGAAAATACCGCTTCAAACAGGCATTTTACCATAGTACATCAGTTCCTAACTGTTTAAAGGTTTTGAGATTTAAACCAAAATGAAAATTGGGATCAAAACTCATACGAAAGTCTAGTTTTTGGCGCTTTTTGCCATTATTGCAAATTATTGAAAAACATTTCCTCTTAACACAAACACTTCGTAGGGGTTTCAACATCCAATTTGCAATTATGCATTCAAATTGAAAAAGATAACACCTGTTTTCTAAAATTTATATAAAGTTTATTAAATGTATTTATTCTCCAAGGTACAGTAGTAACTTGAAAAGTCTAAATTTATAAGCGTTAACGTTGCCAGTGTTTTAGTCTCATTGAGAACTTTTGCAAAGATGAAGTTTCAAGTCGACATTTAAAGGGTATTGCTGCTCAGTCGAAAATACATATTTGGTATATGTATTAAGAGGGTTATCTCTTTGAAGTTTCGTCGTCATAGATAAAAAACTTCGCCCCATAATTGACTTGAATCTGGTCTGCTATATTCCAGAAAGTTCAATAACTTACTGAGATAGTTTAATTTTCAGTTGTCTGAAAGGAATCGGAAAAAACAACTTTTGACCATCGAGCTCGTCTCTCCTTATGACTCTGCTGAAGAAGAGTAATAAACAGTCGTAGTCATAACAAGGACTCTGTCAGCAAAAGATTCCTGTTTGAAGACTTATAATTGATAAAATATTCATATATATTCTAGTAAGCTCGACCAAAAAACTGCTTTGCAAAAGAAGCTCAAAGAATTACAAAATCAAGTTATGGAAAAGGAAGAAGGATTATACTTTGATTGGCAAGTTTGCCTGCTGGCATGTTGCATAATCTTCCTCTACTCTGTTGCTGGTTATTTTCTTCTTAGCGAGGTCGACTGGCCAAACACCGTAAATTTTGTCTGGAGTATCTTCAAGAAGAAAGAAAAACCAGAAAGAGCTAAAGTATAGAAAGGAACGAACACAGGAATACTCCGAAAAGACAATATTCAAACACAATTTAAAATACATATAGAGGTCGGTCTTAGGCTTTATCACTGATAATATATATAGTATTGTCCTAATCCACTCTCTTCATTTTTGCTGTTCCAAAAGTTGCATAATAATTAATTTTTAGTATTTTTTTGTTTCCATAGCCGTTCTAAATCAAGTAAAAAGATTTTCGAATAAAAACACGATGAACTGGTTAGGAAAGCTGCATGTTGTGAAGTAGTTGATTCATACGGAGAACACCTATGCAGAAAGCTCGGTTTTATTCTAATGACTGAGTTGGCGAATGGATAAATTTTTAAATAAAATATATTTATTTCATATTCAGTTTAAAATTACAACAGACTAAAAATAATGCAAATTTAAAAATAAGAAGAGCTTCATCTTATTAAACTTCGCCTTCACTTGAATAAAGTTGTAGTGGGATTCCTGTGTACCATCAACGTTATTCACGTTCATGCAAGACACCTTGTAATTCATAGTATAGCAAGATAAAAACAGAACGGTGAATTACTTTTAAAATTATGACTACAAATCTTCAAAATTCTTTATTCTCTACTTTCACATCCCCGTAATCCTTTGCGTCTTTGGGGGGTAACCAGAGGGTAAAAACCCACTTATTTTGCTGGAGGCTGATCAAACAATGTTGAAAATACCTTTGTTTGGTGTCCAAAAAATAAAATGAAGGAGTGAAAAACAGAAAAAGATAGAAGCTTAAAGACGTTTAAGGTAAACTTGCAAAAAAAGAAAAATCCTAAGTCCATACATTTTCTGTAAGACCAAAACTTTTGATCTGTACACGCAAAAATAACTTGGAATAAACTGATAATCAGTATTGTACAGATAAAAGCAAGTATAGTATAAGTTAAATTAAGAAACCTTTCAATTTGGGACAGTTTTTTGATTGGTTACCCCCCAAAGACGCAAGGCATTATGGGGATGTGAAAGTAGAGAATGGAGCACTAAGTTTCAATCTACGTGTACGACCATGACTACGAAAATAGTGCCAACTCGTACTCGTTCTCGTACGGACCTCTATCAAAAACATGGGTCCTTTCGCCTGATGTTAACTACATTGGACCATGACTAGTTCACATCTATTGAAAGGACTTCTTTCATAATCGAAAACGTCATTTCATTGAATGAGAACTTCATTAGGCCATGACTATTTCACATCTATTCACTGAAAGACCTTTTTCATAAGCCAAAATGTCCTTCCACTGAATGTAAACACCATTAGACCATGATTATTTCACATCCAGTGAAAGGACCTTTTTCATTAAGCCAAAATGTCC